TAATAGTAATAGTAATAGTAATAGTAATAGTAATAGTAAATGATGATGATGATGATGATGATGATGATGATGAAAATATTTTATTTAAATATTATGTAGCAGCCCTACATAAATTGGTATTTGGCATAAATGATGTCGAAGTTAGCTATTTTTATAGCCTGCTCTTCAACCAATATAATACAAAGATGCAAGACATTCCAAATGGAGCATGATTTTGTGGGATTTTCACAAGGAAGAAATAATTTATATCAGTTTAAACAAGCTTCCTGATTCTGGTTTGTTCCCTTTTAGCAAACCCAAAAAAGACAGCAAAAACAAACCAAGGATTCTTTCTTTACTTGTTATTTTGGAGGGAACAAGAAATAAAATTTTACTGTATTTTCTTGACTGGCAGAAGAGGGAGGGAAGCTGTGTTTATTTCCATAAACACAGGCTTCCCCATGTTACTACTATGAGTATGCTTATTTCCATTCATGATTACCCATGTAGCCATGTTCAATTGTGTTCCTGTGAGATATGCTTATGTTGTTACAAAAATGCTGCCTTTATTGGGGTATTTTTGTTTGTAATTTTAATCTTGTTTTATTTGATTTTAATATTGCTCACCAATTTGAATGCTAGAGAGAAAAGGACTATAAAATAAATACAATAAAACCTCAGAATCAATGGGGGATTGGTTCCAAGCCCCCCCACTCCCTATGTGGATGCCAAAAGCCACAGATAATAGCAAACCCAAAAATAGCATAGTCTTTGGCTCACTCTAGTAGTTAGTTCTGGTAACTGCATCATGGAAACATGTTTCTGTTTTTTTTCTTTTAACATTTTTAGACTGCGGATAAGTGAAACCACAGATATTGGTCCTTTGAACACATGATTCCTACTGTAAATAAATAAAATCAGAGGCTTAAAAGTTACTGAATCAATCAGGAAGAGAATGTTTAATGTATCTCTGTATATCTATGTACATTGCTGCAGAGTGTGGATATTGAGACTCAAAATCTGGAAAAACACAGAAGCAATAGAAAATCTGAAATAGAAGTAATGGACTTGCTTCTCCTGTTTTTGAAAACGTAGCATTCAAGCAATTAAACCATTATGAGGCCTGGAAATGCTTATAGTAGTATTCTATGTTTTGTTGTTTACATTTATTAGCAAGAAGGTTCCCTGTGTGCCCAGCACTGTTTGAATAACCTACTACAAGGAGAGTATTTTAGTCCAGTAGAACTATCTTTAATTGCACAACAGCTGGATGAAGAGGAGAGAATGAGGATGGCAGAGGGAGGACTTTCTAGTGAAGAGTACAGGACTTTTTTACAGGTAAAAGCTCTTCAGATTGTGTATATGCCATCTTGTCCAACATAAATTTACATGTCAAAAAGCTCCAATTAAGGAAAATACACATTAGTTCAATATGCCTTTATATGAATATATCCTTTTTAACATTTATTAACTCGTTAAACGAGGCACCACTGTATATCCTTTTTAACATTTATTGACACAAATTACTATACAGTGGTGCCTCGCTTAACGAGCGCACCGTATAACGAAGAATCCGTATAGCGATCTCTTTTTGGGGATCGCTATACGGAGCTGCCCCAATCGCCGCACTCGCTTTTCCTGCCCTGTACAGCGATGTTTTCGCATAGCTCGCTATGCGGGGCACCACTGTACTTAAAGTGTAACAGTCTGGAAAATTTGAGGCAAGAGACAGTGCCTACAAATGAAGAAATCCAGCAGAGAAACTATTAAAGAAATTGTGTTGTTTAAAAGCAGCAAACTACAGCAGATACCTCAGTTTTTCCAAAATGTCAGTTTTTCATTTTAAAAATAAGAGTTTTCCTCCTAGTGTCCTGGAGTCCAGAAATATTTCTTCTGCATTTCTCCTAAGGCTTCATTACAGTTTCTAAAAGTATATTCTCCTAAGAAAAATAGTTCAAAACCTATTTCCACCTAGTTCCTTTTTTTTTTTTAAATTTCTATTGCTAGGATGGCTTGTGAGTTATAAGTGTGTATTGGAGTATGTGAATTGTTGCAGATGGGCATGACTTACTCATTGCTCTTGAGTTCTTAGAAAATGTTCTAGTAATGTGAATATGCATACAAGTCATTCTAGGTAACTGTTTTACAGGAAAATGACAGAGAAAGAGAGGGAAGAGTTAAAGGAACACCTTTCATTATAGAAAACTTTATTATTGTGGCATATATAGGAGTTATTTATAAGTGAATGATGGGCATAAATAAATAAATAAATAAATAAATAAATAAATAAATAAATAAATAAATAAATAAATAAATAAATAAATAAATAAATAAATAAATAAATAAAGTCATTTTGTTCCATTCTCTTTTGCATAGCAGCCTTCTGGGAACATGGACGACAGTGGCTTCTTCTCAATTCAAGTAAGTATTCTTTGGAAAAATCAATTCAGGTTTAACATTGTATTCTCGAAGGCGTTCATGGCTGGGATCTGATGGCTGTTGTGGGTTTTTCGGGCTCTTTGCCTATGTTTCTGAAAGTTGTTCTTCCTAGTGTTTCGCCAGTCTCTGTGTCCTCTGAAGATGACGGCCACAGACTGCTGAAACGTTAGGAAGAACAAATTTCAGAACATGGCCAAAGAGCCTGAAAAACCCACAAAAACCATCAGGTTTAACAGTTTGTAAATTTAGTGTATTTTAGTAAGAGTTGATACAATCAGCATTTACAGCATTTATTGATGTTTTGGAAACATTTGGACAAAATGGCTATTTTGAAATTGATTTTTACATTCCAAAAATGTACATGGAACATATCCATGTTATTTTATACAACTTCGAATTTCTCCCATCTTGTTACAGTTATTACTGGCAGTTTGTAAAGAGATTTCATTGAAAGCAGAAGACTTCTATATAATTATGGATAGGAGTTTGTTTATATTTGCCTTCCAGAATGGAGAAGCGCATAGTATGTAACCCTTAAAATATACAGTTTTACAGCTTTGCTTTATTTGCACATGTATAGAAAAATTTGTTTAAATCCTGTTCTTGATGAATAGACCAGCATGTGAGTTTAAAGTATTGTATGCAATGGAAATCTTCCTCAGTTTTTCTGTATGGTGCAATTGAAAATCTATAAATATACGGGATGGGTTCTACACTGCACAGGGCATGTGCATAAAGAATTGGCGTGTGTGTGTGTGTGTGTGTGTGTGTGTGTGTGTGTGTGTGTGTGTGTGTGTGTGTGTGTGTATATTGAGGGAATATATATATGTGTTTTTGTGAATCAAGCATGTAAAGGGTGGATGGCATGCAGTTGGGTCTGAAATAATGTTATTTTAGTTTCTTCTGCACCAAACCATGACCTCTTTGCCTCTCTAAATCCAGTTACAAAGAGTTTCCCTTTAGTGAAGATTTTGGGAGTATATAGATGGCTGCAAAGTGGTGGGGGATCACATCATTTCTGATTTCATGGAGATAAGACATTTTGTCAGCTAGAGCAGTGGTTCTTAACCTTTTTGAAAGAAATGCCCCCTTGAGCCATTGAGGAAGTTATCATCACCCCCCTCCCTACGGTGATGATATCTTATTTATTTATTTATTTA